CTGCCTCTGGCACCGTTCTGTTCTGTGAGCTTGGGACATTTTAATTAATCTTTGTATGCCTCAGTGTCCTTGACTGTGAAAAGGGGACAATACTAAGGATACCTTTGGGTGTTAAGTGAGGAAATGCATGTGAAATATTTGGCAGTGGTGCCTGAGGTCTGGGTGCTGGATCAGTCACTGCTCTCGTTCACGAGGCATTTCCACCACAGGGCCGTTGGAGCCCTGGGAAGCCTTGGGCCCTGTTGCCTGGTGCTGCAGAGCAGGATGTAGTCTGGCCCACCGAGGGGGTGTGCATCCTCCAGACACCTGAGAGGCTCACACTTCCTCTTCTCTGATAAATAATTCATTGTCTCCCCTAGTGCTTCTTGGGCTTTGGATGTAAATGTCAGGGAGATTGACTGTCAGGGCTCTAAAATGTTTGTCTTTCAGGATCTTCCAAAATTCTGGAGCTGGTGTGACTAGAGATTGAGTTGCCAAGTGAGAGCACCAGGAGACTGTGTATCTGTGCTCTTAGGCAGAAGAAAATGGATGTGCTCCTGATTATATTGGATTTCTTGGTGTATGAGCTATTGTAAAAGGAAGAAATTAAAGAAAAAACATGCACCGAGTCAGAATAAACAAGAATGCATGTACATCAAGGAATCATATAATCTAACAGTGGACTGGCTAGGAAGAGAAATTCCAAATCAGGATATTAGGGACGATGGCCAGAATAATAAACAGTAGTTGTTTTATCAGTCCCTCAGTACCATGCTCAGACTATAGTGGATCACTGTTGTCAACAGTGACTCTGTAAAATAGGGACAGTTCTGTGTTTATTTTTCACATTGGAAACTGAGGCTCAGAGGGGATTTGCATCCAAGTCTATGTGACTCTAAATAAGTCAGTGTGCTCTGTGCCGTGCGCATTGGCTCCTTTAGTGTGGAAATGACCCTCAGTACCCATAGTGGGTGAGACTTGGCAGGAACAGTTTGGCTGGAATGAGGAAACCCAGGTCCCAGGGTTGCAGCTCGGCGGCTCCCTGGAGGGGGTGCCAAGCCACTGGAACATTTGGGCTCCCATTTCCGCTTCCGTTGAAGATGTTATGTTTGCTATACTCGTCTCATAAGGGTTTTAAGAATAAAATGAGATAATAGCAGAGAAAGGTCTTGCAAACTTGAGTGATGCACATAAAGAATTCATTATTAAATTTTTGATTATGTTGGGCTATTTTCCATGATGCTCATGTCTTGATTGAATTAAAAAGTCTTTGCCTCATGCTTTCTGTCCCTTGTCAGCTTTCTCTTGAGATCTGCATGAGTGATTATCTGACAAGAGGGAGTTGTCCCCAGACTGTGGGATTAGAGCAGGTTCAGACGCACCATGGTCCAGCCCCCGTTTTTGTAATTGGAAACTTGGAACATAAGAAATGACTTATTTTCCAAATGCCTCTTTTTCAGTCATCAAACAGTGGATCAAAGTGTTTATTAAATGTCTATTCCATATTCAGCTCTGTTTAAGTTCCTGTGGGACCCAGGACTTGAGAGCCCAGCTCAAACCTTGCTGTTTACAGTGCAAGGAGAGGAAAAGGGCAATAATTAGAAACTGTCCGCACTCTACTGTGAGGAGTTCATGTTGTGAGGCGGGTCAGCTTGCGAGGGCCTGGCCTGCTTAAAACATCTGGGAACAGCCTAGGCAGGAGATGCTGAGACTTGAGCTGGACCTGAAATGTTGGGATGTGAACTGGAGTTAGGGGTCTGATTGGGAATGAGGAAGATGGTCACAGGCAGGGGGACTAAAACTGCATGTAAGTAAAGAGTCAGGGACTATCTGCATGTCTGAGGGGTGGAGGGCGAGGCAGGGAGGGGGATGCTGTATGTGTGTGTGTGAGTGTGTGTGTGTGTGTGTGTGTGTGTGTGTGTGTGTGTATGTGTTTCTAGGGTTAAACCTAGAAGTCTGGTCTTTGTATGTGGGCAAAGTCATCCAGAATGATGGAAGATTCTAGAGCCAAGGAATGACAGGGAGACAGGAGCTGGGGCCAGGGAGAACCTGGAATGGCACCCTGGAGTCTGGAGACTGTGTGCAGGCATGGGATGGCACAGTTGCCCTGGGTGGACAGGGGTTTGCCCTGCAGATGTTTCTGTGACAGAATCTCCAGATTCGAGGGACACTTGAGTAAAGGAATTTGGGGAGGAGGAAGAGGAAGTGTAGACAACTAGCTCCTTCCAAGTGTTTGGATTTAGAGCTTGTCTCGTTTTCCTTGCCTGGTTCCAGGATTCTCAGCTCTTTTTATAAAATGTGGGTGGTTGACAGTAGCAACTCGTTTCCAGTGCTTAAATTATTCCAAGTTCATTTATGAATATTTCATTTTTAGCTAACTAATTGGTCTTGAGGATCTGAATTATGGATGTAGCAAGATGGGAGATTAGTTTTGTCACCATTGTGTTTGAGGCTTTTCAAAGCTTTCAGGGCCGATTTTGTGTTTCTTCCTTGACAACCAGATTGCACCTTGCTCATCAGTTTAATTCAGCCAGCTTTACTGGGTCAGGGCACCAGGCTAGGTGCAGAGTGGATGAGGCATCACCTGGGCAAGGGCTCTGCCTTCAAGGAGTCTCCACTCTGTGGGAAGACAGACTTCCAGACAGCCCTGCTGGATGGCACCCTGGCTGCATTCCCAGCCTGCTGCCAGCAAACTGTCTTTTGCACAGTCGGCACTGCTGCTTTTGGCTGTGTGCTCAGGTGTGTTGTGAGAAAACGTGGGGACTTGCCATGCCAGTTTGCCAAACTCCAGGTTAGGAGCACAGGGCACCACATGACTAAGTCCTCAACAGGCTTCTGACACCAGCCACAACCGGGGGGGGGGGGGTGTCTCCAGGGCCACCTTCTCTGATCAGCTAGCTGCAAATTTGGGGATCTCTAGGGCCTTCTTTAGGCTTGATAATTTGCAAGAATTCACAGAACTAAGGAAAGTTCTGTTATTTCCTTTTGGTCCCCTCAGGGAGTCCTAGACATCTCCTCTGTCTTTAGTGCATGACAACAACAAGATAATCTCCATCCAGGAAGCTCACAGAGCCTTGGCTGTCCAGAGTGTCTTTTGGACCTCAGTGACACACAGCCACCTGAATGGTCTCCAGACCCTCCTTGAGGTTGTGACTGCTCTCCAGTGCCTCTGGAGGTTGGAGCTGATGTACTGGAGCCAAGGTGAAGCATCATCAATCATCCAGGGGCAAAGACCCCAGGGAAACACAGACCCTCCCATGCAGAGGGACATCTAGGAGTCTGGGGATCCCTCCCGGTCACCCAGAGAAAGGGCTGGACCTCTCTTGACTTAGGTTAATTCTTGAATACGCAGCTGTGTCCTGAGAGAGCATTTCAGAGCAGTGGCTTCTTCATGGCAGGATGCCAGAGTTGATCACTGGGGTTAGATCTGGGCCACAAACTTCAATAGACTAATGTGACATGTGGTGGGTGTTTCATAGACTTTGCTAATTCTGCTGCTCTGATATCAATTGCTGCTTCAATAGGTTGTACATGCTGTTTTGAAGAATAATAATAGGAAAAGTTTTAATGACTTTGGGGTAAACACTTTTTCCTTACTCACTGCATCCCTTCTCTCCTCCATCCCCACATGTGGGGGCTGGTCCTCCTGGAAACAGCCTTTGTCTTCTCGTTGAAATTCAGTATTGGCGAAGGGACTGAGGGCTCTGGTCTGCTGCGTGTTCTGTCTGGATTCTCGGTGTGCCTTTATGGTTTGTAATTGTGCCTGTTGCTGTGGCTGGAGAGGCTATGGTTGGACCCTCAGCCAAGGCAGACCTGTGCATTGCAGCTCAGCAGAGGCTTTGCTCCTGGAAATCTCCTGCCCCAGGAGAATGGGTGCCTGTCTCTCTATGTTCATGGGAACCCAGTGCCAAGGTCGGCTTCCTTGTCTAGAGTGCCTGCAGGTGAACTGCCTTCCCTGTAGACTCTGCCCCATAGCCTCCCTCTCTGACCATGAACACAGGCCACCCTTTTCATTAAAGGACCTTTGTGGTGCTAGCAGTGGGTAAAGTGGTTGGTGTTTCACTGTGCAGAGCCACAACTTTAGAAAGAGCAGGAAGGTCCCCCAAAGATGTCCTCATCCACAGACCAGTCTTCAACCAAACTGATGCCAGGACCCGCGAGTCCTCCCTTTTCCCTGCTGTCCAGACTCCGAGGACTGCCCAGATTGCATTCTTTAGTCAGACAGATGGCTGTGGCCTTGGGGACCTCGGCCTGACCAGGAGTGGCCCCCTGGTTGGCTCTTTCAGGGGTTCCTCTCAAAGTCACATCTTCTGCTTCACTTTGCACGACTGTGCATGCTGCTCTGCTTCCCGACCCTGCTTTGCTCTTAATTTCTACCTTTATTTCAGAGATGAAAGCCTTAAAGATGAACACTAATTAAGAAGAAATGCATGTTGTAAAATGATTTGGAACTTGGCTTTAAAGCAGCTCTGATCATGCCATTTAAAATCAGTAGGTCGCTAGGAAACTTGAAAAATATTGTTATTGTCTTTGCCCTATAATTTGTGGCTTTAGATTGTAATTATTTTTTCTCTTTCTCACCAGGACAATTTGACTTCTTGAAATAATCTGAATAGTTGTCTGACTCATTAAGAGTATGACAAGCTCAGCAGTGTCTGAGAACTCTTTGCAAAGAAGCAGCAAGATCTGGATTTAAAAGGAAGTGGTGGTTAGCGAGGATTTTGGTCTGGGGGCCAACAGCCACAGCTTAGGTCTCAAGCTTCATAGAAGGAGCTTGTGCAAAGGTTCACCCTACAGTCTTGAGGCAGAATATCTATCATAAGATCCGGTGCCATCAGCATTTAGGCACAGGGACAGTAGGACTGGTGATGCTGCTGCAGCCGGGCCCTTCTAGGGCTTCTTTAGACTTTCCTTTTTAATAAAATGGGAGACCTGAACATATTCTTACATTTAGAAATTGAGTGCGTGCCCTGCCCTGCCACCCGGTGTCACTCCACCCTGCTTTCTTGTTTCCTTTGCAGAGTTTTTGGTCATGAAGAGGAAGAGAGGCAGGCCTAAGGGGTCCACGAAGAAGCCCAGTGCTGAAGAGGAGCTGGTGGAAAACTTTGTGAACCCTAGTGACGAGGGTCCACTGGCTCCAGAGGAGGGGGCTGGCTTGACTCCGAGCAGCCTGGAGTGTGGCAAGTGCTGTCGGAAGTTCTCCAACACGCGCCAGCTGCGGAAGCACATCTGCATCATTGTGCTGAATTTGGGTGAGGAGGAAGGAGAAGCAGGTAAATGGACCAGGTGACCATGTGGTTTCTCACAGAGATGTACCTAAGGATACTTGCTGACGGCTTTGCTTGTTACTTGGAATAGCATGCACTTATTCAGGTCTCCCCCATCTCATTTTCATAATGGTTACTGAATATTACTGTGTATAATCTTTGGAATTAATGTGCCATCTGTGAGCTGGAGCCCATGGTGTGCAGGCCCAGGGTGCCTTGGTGGTGCTTTGGTGGGTCGTAGAGAGAGTAAAACAGTTTCTACCCTTGATGAGCTTATGTTCTGTGAAAGGAGATTTGAGTTTTAAAATGCACAATGACAAAGGATAGAAAATCGTTCCTGGGAGAGGGTGTACTGGTACAAAGTCAGTGAATCTGGTGCCACAGTTTGGCATTTGGCTGACGGGTGGGAGGTTGTCTTAAGGATGGACAGGGCCATGTGCATAGTGTGAATGACTTGGGGACTCAAGGCCGTGTTAGGAACCTGATTGGCCACCAGTGGCTGAGGACTGGGGTGTGGAGGTCAGCTCTGAAGTAGCTCCTACAAAGGGCTGGAGAGGAATGGCCTCCAGCAGGGAGGACAGCTGGGGGACAGCTCCTCTTAGACCGCCTTCCTAGAGGAGCGAGGTTGTAAGGCTGTGCTGCAGGCACAGGCCTCCAGTGGCTCTGTAATGATTGTTTGCTTCTGAGCTGTTTTCCAAGATTTCAGGCTGCTCCTGTTTAGGAGGATCTTGGTGTTCCCTACTTTGCTCAGCCTGCTGCATGGGAGGCCATTCAAGTAAAAAACTCTGGCTCTGGAATGTGGCTCCTGGGGTTGGAATCCCACTTAAGCACTTCTAAATCCCTCCTGCCTCTGCTCAGTCTCCTTGTCTGTAACATGGGGCTAGAAGCAATGTGGTTGCTCTGAGTATTAAATTAGACAGGACTTGTAAAGAGCATCATAGCCTTACAGAAGTACCCAGTAAATATCAGCTATCCTTTTAGCTGTTGAGGGCCATGCAGAGACAGCACTATTTTCATTTTTCCTTTTTAAAGGATACACTTGGACACTGAAAGATGAAGTAATTTGTCCCAGGTCTCTTAGTCAGGGGACCTGGCCTTTGAACCCTGGCCATCCTACTTTGAACCTCTGCTCTTAAACTCTTTGCTGTAAATGCCTCTCTCCGAACAGTGAAGCCAGACCCTTGGTGTGCAGAATCCTAGCACAGATTGGATGGATTATTGAGTAACTCATCAACTAATACTGATGAACATCTAGGATGGTGGCCAGGCTCATCGCCAACATCTGTGCAGGTTGTAGAAGGTATATGATCTGGTTCTTCTCCTGCAAAGTGCCTGTGGAAACCTGACCACTGTGGGTTCACAAGCAGCAGCCCAGGTCCCAGCTTGGCAGTGGGGAGAGTGGTCCCGAGTCATACAGGCAGTGGCAATGCCAGAGGGGTGGGCAGCAGCTGCAAGATTGCAGAAGGATCAGTGCTGTTCAGGAGCTTAGAGTTCTTTTGGAGAATAAGGACAGTTTTAGAGAGGAAATATTGAGGAGTGGAACAGCACCAACCTTCTCCGACCTGTTGCCGGGCTTTGTCAGTCTCTGCGCTTGGGTGATAGGATGTCCCAGTCTCTCTCTGTCACACACAGACATGCACACACACCCTTCCCCACGTGTCCCTGTCTCTCTCTGTCACACACAGACATGCACACA